CCCCCACTACAACAGTTTTAGTTTTAGTGCGATTTTTACGGCACTTGCTGCAACACAATAAGGTCATATAAGTACCGAAGATTAGAGGTGTTACAAGAGAGTAACAAACATAAAAAGGAAGGAAGGAGGATAAAAAAAAAAACAATAGATGTTTGACAGGAGAAAGCAAACCACACCAGAGCACCCGCCAACCACCCACCCACAACAACAAACATGGCGCGTCCCAAAGAGGTCACTGTAGTAACACAGGATAGTCAACTAACGTCTAAAAATAAAGCGTTCTTAAGGATGTCTCTGGTGAGATTTTGGTACTGCAACATGACAGTGGGTGCTTGGCGGGTGCTCTTGTGTGGTTTGCTCCTTCTTTCCTTTCAAATATCTATCGTCCCGAACTCCTCTCCTTCTTTTTTTGTGTTTGTTACTCTCTTGTAACACCTCTATTCTTCGGCACTTATTTGACCTTATTGCGTTGCAAGAGCCGTAAAACTCTTACCTTAACTAAAAAGCAACTTGACAGTCAGAGTATAGAATTTTAGAAAGCAATCTGAGGGCCGGGTCTTACTTTATTACCAGAATCCACCGAGTCTAAATTAAAGGTTGTCATAATATGGGAAAGTAATTTGCTCAGTATTCGCTCAGATGTTAGGGAGGTTGAAACTGTCCAGACAGAGCCTCGATCCGGATCCTGAACGAAACTCATTTTCTTAAGGTCAAAGACTGAAGTTTATAATCTCAATGTACAATTTGTAGCCTGTTTTTGTCCCCAGATATTCCACTGAAACCATACAAAATTATTTCAAAGTATTTCGTATAGTAATAACTCAAAGTAGGAGTTTTTGGGGTCGTAATTGTAAACACAAATCTGACTTACGTCTCAGAACACTTCTCGAATACAAGTATATCAGCTCCAAAGAGGTGGGAAAGGGGGGGGGGGGGTGAATGGTATCACGTACGCAATTTTGTCCGACTTTGCCTCTATAAGAATGGTCTATGATTACAATCCCAGGTAAGCACATCTACAGTAACGTACAGAATGCGATCAGGAAAAATCCTTGCTCTTCCGGTTCTTCAAGCGAAGAGTTAGTTTCTTCCAAATCGGGCCTTGTTTCCTGTGGGAGGAATCATCTGCCATATCAACGCCGCTGTCGCTTGATTCCGGAAACGGCATTGCGTCACCATGACGGGAGCGTAGAAACGACTCGTAAGAGCTATCGTTGACGAACCGCTGGTTATCGTCTGGTCCATCCGTGTAATTAAGTCTTTTCCCAGCGGATCTCCCCTGTGTGCCAATTTTAGAGTCGGCGTAACTGAAGCTCCTGACACTGTTGAACTGCACTGGCTGACCTTTCCCGCTGCCTTTTCGCTTCCCCGAGACCGTTTGCTGCTTGAAAAGAGAGTTCTTTGGGCTGACTTTTTGACGGGGCTCCGTTCTCGAGATACGATTGGACGACGTTGACAGTTTGCGAGCCTTCTGATTGGGCTTCTCGACGACCTCTATTTCCGTTTCATCGTCATCACTAAGAAATCGAGACAGGTCTTCCCCCTCGTACCGGGATGCCTTCAGAACAGGGTTGATCCTTCGCTCTTTCCGGAGTCTCTCTTCCTCGCCCGTGCCGTCACTGGCGTCCGTGTCTTCCTCCGTAAACGTCAGTGTCTTTTCGTCCTCTTCGTAGTCCGGTTCTGGGATGTGCACGCCTTGGGACTCCTGTTCCCCCGATGCTTGGACGCCTTGGGACTCCTGTTCATCCGACGCTTGGTGGTAATCGGGGCTGACGTGCAGTCCATTGGCTATTGGAAGCTCAACTCCGTTTGTGGGCGTGGCTAGTTCTCGGTGATTGGCAGTTGGGTGTTGAGGGAAATGAGTTGCTTCTTCCACGACAGAGTCGTCATGGTCTAGGGCATAGTTGATGAACTCGTGGGTTTCTGGGTCGTTTCGAGACGGAATGAGATTAGAGTTTTCGGAGTAAGCGAAGGAATCGAGGGAAGGGGCGTTCTGAAGTTGCCCTCTCGGCCCTGTGCTGACTTCTTCATGGTCTATGACGGTGTGGTAGATGTGCAAGTCATCTACAGAGTCTGAAACGTCCTTGATTTCATTTCGGTTTTCATCGCTTAGAACCACATTATTATCCAAATTGTCGTCATCGTTATCGCCCACAGTGCTGAGCACCATGGGTATATCTTTATCTCCAACGATGAAAGGTTTCGGCTTGGTAAGCACGGCCGCTGAGCTCTGACCTTCCGTTGGGATCGCTGGAACGGGCCGAGATTTCAACTTCGACTGCAGATTAGCCGTATTCAAAACAGCCGACAGACCGGCGTTCGATTCGATCAGATTGTCCGTATTCTCCGCGCTCAGAATCTTGGGTTTGTACCCGCCGAATTTCTTCATGCCCGGCGGCTGTGGCGCGAACGTCGTCTTCTTCCCCAACGCCAGCTGCGTCTGCTGCTTGGACTCCTGCCCGTCATAACTGAACACAGAGTTGTTGTTTCCCTGGGGGGCGGTATTTCCCAGCGGGTTGTTGTTGAAGATCTCGTGCACCCGCGGTCCCTTCGGCATCCTGAAGTCGTGTGGTTCACCCGAAAGAAACTAGGTCGAAGGTCATCAACCTCGCCTGTCCCGAAGCAACATGAACACAACCAATGATCTGCAAGGGGTTCTTCTCTTTCGATCTTTTAAAGTATCCACACGCACGTATAGTAAGTGAAAGAAATCCAAGAAATAATGACAAAAAATGCAGATGTCCGCGCTGGCTGTTGGTTGCCGCTGTTGTATGTTATCCAAGAAGTGAACACGTTAGAACACTGACCCAGAAACGTCGTTACGACTTGATTGACTGATGTAGCCGATGTGCCAAGGGTTTCTTGGAAATGCCGTCTCTCTAAAAATGTCGATAACAACCTTTTCTACGTGTGCAACAGGATTTTCAAAGGGTCAGTCCTGAAAAAGGAAAAAAAAATTCGATTAGAGATACCAATGTACCCTGTCAATAGTGTGTAAATCCTGATGAATCATTTTGTTAGAGTAAATGACATGTCAAGTAACTATGAGATTATAAGTAAAATACGATAAAGAACAAACAGATTATATTCACAAAGACATTCACTGAGACACATACACACGCGCGCACAAATAGAATTAAAATAAGGGGAGAGAGGGAGAGAGAGAGATAGAGAGAGAGAGAGAGAGAGAGAGAGAGAGAG